ATTGTAATGGGTCTTCATAATATTCACCAATTCTTCGTAATTCTTCCTATCGGGTGTTTCTGGTGAAATCTTATCGCAAAGGACATCATAAGCTTCTGAACCCATATAATGTAAGAGATAAGCTGCTTTTTTATCCAACGGTACTCCAAAAACATTGAAGGCACTCTCCAGTCGCATGAGCCAACGATTGAATTGTTTTGAAGGGTCGTAAGACTCTATTGAAAATACCGTATGGACTGCATGTGTTGTAGAAAGGACATTAGAATTCGAAATTCTATCTGGCGTATCATCTGGCATCTCGGAATGTAATTAATATTGACGTACCTTGTCAAAATAATGTATCGCTTGAGGCGTAAATGCAATTTTGATGAAATTGGTTCCTTTGTAGGTTTTCTTCAATCCTCGTCGCCACTTTTATATTTCCACTGTAGTAGCAATATAACTCGTATGTAGAATGTAGAATAATATATTTATTCAAGAAATAGAATGAATTACCAATTTCAATAACAAGCGAATCTACAATTATTATTCATTGTCATAACGATTCTCGGTACAGGGTGCTACCGAATCCACAAATATACAGTATGTGAAATGAAAACATAACAGTATATGCATGTTATTAAGCATCTACCATCATTTTTAACTTATATCACTAGTTTTGAGAGTGATTGTTGAAAGGTCAGTTTTCAATTTATCTACTAATGAACTAAAATCGTCATTGTCAATGACAGTGGTTCAAATACATATTTATACGTAACTAGTTAGGAAACGTGTCATTTTGTGTGACGATGGGATTTTGCGGGAAAATATGCGAAGCTCTAATAATTATCTGTACAAGTTATCATATTATTAGGGAATATCGGAAATAACCGTGTCTGGTAATTACATTTATCAAGCACAGATTGACGATGATGACATTCATGTTCATCACTCAGCCAAAATCAAAAACGACAAAGAACATTTCTGACAACTTAGAACAATAGTCTGGTCTAACATTGAAACCGGTTGTCTAGTTGACACTGTTGTCAGAATGAACAACCATTTTTTTCAGGATTATGCCCCTGAAACAACGAACATTTTCAGGATACCAGAGTCAACCGTTATTAATAATACAAGGTGATTCTAAAATAGGTGGTCAAACTTTGGGAGTATATAGAGTGAGTGAAATAATTACGAAAACCTCGGTAATATTTTTTTCTGAAGTGCCCCCCAAGAAAGATACAGCCCTTCAAAGGGGGGCCTCGGAGAATGATTTTGTACTATTATCTCCAACACCTTGTATGATGAAAATCTAAAATTTTGTTTATCCACTAACTATTCAGTGCCGGTACGAATGGAGTTAAAATCACCTCAAAATTAAATATAGGGGTGTGTCAAAACAGGGAGGTAGGGGGTAAAAATAACCCCAACTTTTTTGTTCATCGCAATTTCAGTTTTTTTACATGAAATTATGAAATCTCAGGGCTATCAACATAGAAAAGGAGCTCTTGTTGGATCTCGATAAACTGAACCATTAGCGAATAAAATTTATTTTTCCAAGATTTCATTTAAATTGAAGTTTTGGTATGCACTTGAGTTTAATTATCTAGTTCAAATCTTGCAACTGAATTTTCACCTACTTCTAATCGTCTGATCAACTTGGAATCTGGCAGATGACAGTTGACAACGCGTTATGGACTTTTTGATAGAAAAAAATAGGGCGGCTCCAATGTGGCTGACCAGATTTGTGATTATGGTTCGATTCGATTCAAAATTGGTTTGTAAAGGTTTCTGGGGTTTGGAAATTTTGAATTCATTGTCGGAATTGATGAATTAAAAATAGACGACGAGTTTCGTGATTATGGTCTGATCCTATTGAAAATACTAAAATGAAAAATATTGTTAAAAACAAGCTTTTTTTAAATTTTATTCGCTAATAGTTAATTTTATCGAGATGCAACAAGAGCACCTTTTTCATGTAAATAGCCCTGAGATTTCATAATTTCATGTCAAAAAACTGAAATTGCAATGAACAAAAAAGTTGGGGTTATTTTTTAACCCCATTCGAACCGGCACTGAATAGTAAGCGGATAGACAAAATTTCAGATTTTCATTATACAAGGTGTTGGAGATAATAATACAAAATCATTCTCCGAGGCCCCCCTTTGAGGGGCTGTATCTTTCTTGGGGGTCACTTCAGAAAAAAATGTTACAGAGGTTTTCGTAATTATTTCACCCACTCTATATGCTTCCAAAATTTGACCACCTATTTTAGAATCACCTTGTATAATATTTATGATAATAAAAAAGGAATATTCTCAGATAAATTATGAAAAAATGGATATGCCGGTTGTCCCATTTAAATCTTTATTTGGAAATTTCTCGAAATGAATGCATCTGCCGAAGAAAATTGCCGAATCAAAGTTGTATGGTTTGGAGGGGGACGTCTGGTTATAAAACAAGTTCCACCCCTGACCCCCAGGGGAGTGGGAAATGGACGTAACATTGAAATCTTTAATGGAAACCCCTATTTTTTATTGCAGATTCTGGAAGAGCATTAAAAACTATGAAGCTGTTATTCGGGAACTTTTTTTCTATTTTCACAAAATGGCGCTGCGATCGTAAAAAACAATATTTCACTATTTAGTTTGTAGTTGGGTGACTTTTTATCACTAGAAAGATATCAAGCAGTTCGAATTAACACATTTCAACACCCTGAAGACGAGGAAGAGTGTAAGGTGTGAAATTCCCAGACAAACGCCGTTGGGGTGATATTTTTATTGCAAATTCACACGGTAAGTGATAATTATTTCATTGTTCGGCAACACCATGTAAAAACAATTTAAATCTGTCACTGTCTCGCAATGTCGGATTATTTACCGAACGAGATTATGTAAATATGATTATGTGTGTCGAACGTGCGGAGGGTAATTACCAAGAGGCTGAGCGCGAATATCGACGTCGATTTCCCGATCGGAGATATCCGTCCCAAGTTACCATCAAGTCTCTTGTACAACGTGCCCGCGAAGGTCAGCTCACCCGGAAAAGAAAAAAGTCGGTTTTTGTGACGACGTCGTCGATCCGGATGCGAGGCTGCTCACGGTGCTCGCGTTAGTGCACCTTAATCCTCATGTAAGCCTTCGAGAAATTGAAAGAGAAATTGGCATTCCACGATCCACAGTCCAATGGCTACTAAAAGTGGATAAATATCAATGTCAATGAGATAGGGACATGTGAGCCGTTTTGACCAATTATGAATGGTTTAGACACAACAAATTCTTGAACTTGGAAAATCTCGATTTCTCACACCCTATATCTCAGTAATTATAACTGCTAGACCCCAAGTATGATGGGTCGTTGAAATCAGCTCATCAGGGAGAATCTCAAAATGAAATAATATATAGGGTGTTCGATAGAAAAAAGTTTAACTTCAGTGTTTTTTGGGGACACCCTGTATGTTTCGAAATAATTTTAAATGGTAGCCTATGTTGATATGCAACTTCCTAGAGAGGAAGAATTCCAAGAAGATAAGTGGTTAGCCTTCTAGAGACCGAGGCGTTACTGGTGGCCCACCCTGTATATATATCCATTTTTTTGTGTTCATAACTTGAACGATGGAAGCTTGTTATTTTCATAGACCTTTAATCGTGATAAGGTTTTCTCAATCCAGAATTTTTACCACAACCTGTATGATGAATATCAATTTGATGTGTTTCGTTGTTTTTTGTAGAAACCATATTTTTTAGTAATCGAGGGTGGTATTGGTATTGGTAGGTTGGATGGTGACAGATGCGCTGCGACCCAATTAGATCTATTGTGCCCCATCTGCTCCTGCTATATCAAGGATTTCTTGTTCATAGCAGCCCCTCGAGATTCAATTCCTTCAGGAATTTGAGGATTTTGAGGGGGTCTAGCTGTGGTATTTCTTCCACAGTCAGCTGGTGTGTTCCCAGTATGTTCAATCTTTTGTGATGTACAGCGTCACACTCCATCAGTATGTGATGGGGTGTTTCTGGTTCTTCCTCACAGAATCTGCAGGTGCCGTCCTCCTGTAAGCCTAGCTTCCTTAGGTGTTCTTTGAGTCTGCAATGCCCCGTTAGAAATCCCGTTATTGCTTTGAGACTTCCTTTGCTGAGGTTTGTCAGTGTCTTAGATCTTTCTCGGTTGAAATTTCCAAGGAGATCTTTAGCCTGCCGTAGTCCTGGAAGTCTTCTCCATTGTCTGGCTCTCCAGGCTCCTTCCGCCTTCTCAAGTTCTCCTTGGAAATAGGAATTTCCAAGGCCGCAGAATGGCTCTGGTCCGATCAGTGGCGAGGGTGGATAGTCAGAAGTGGAACACTCAGTATAGTAGAGGTATACACCATCACAGGTGAACATAATAAAAACAATACAATACAAAAGTGTAAAAGGCACTTTGTACTTGAAATTGTTCAAGGAATATGCCCATCGAGTCAGTATGAATTCAATAATACCGACGTAAGGCAAGACTTTCGGAAGACCTGTCTGAATTAAAGACGTTTAACCCGGACCACCCTGCATTTATAAAAAAAATATATTTTGCCTACTCATAAAAATGTCGTGTTTGAAGAATTTTCTGAAAATTTCATCGTATGTCAAGTATTCTAAATTTATTTAAAAAAATTAGTTGCTGCTGAGCCCTACAAAATAGATGAAATTTCACAATACCATTTTATGTAATCTTTCACTTATATTTACCAACTAATGGTGTATGTTGAATCGAGAAAGAATGAATTTTCAGTGTTTTTAATCAGAAATTGTGGCACTGTAGGTTTTTTCGGGTTTTCCGGCACTTTCTATGCAAATGCGCCATTTTCAAAATTTGTAAGCTGCCCCGAAGCGCATCATTCTGAGAAGACAAAAAAGATTGATTCTTTGTTTAACTTATTATTATGTATTATTTAAGGAAGTTTGACTTGTACTATACAAAAATGTAATTTTTATCGCTGGTCTATTATGGATTTCAACCAAGTAACGGCCGAGTCAATACAAAAGTCATGTTTTCAGCAATTTTATTAAACAAAATCAATACAAAATGTTAGTAAAAATAGTTATTCTTAAGTTAGTTAATAGATATTCATAAATTATTTCATTAGGTACTATATCGTTCTTAGTTATGTTGATAAAATGAATCACAGCATGTATAGCTACAGAAAGAATATTTAGAATCGACTAGCAATTCCACCTCCTCTACTATCAGAATGAGAACTCAAATCATCTTTGAATTTCTCAATAATATTGCTACTTCCATATGGTTCTTGAAGTAATACTGGTTTCGATATTAGCGTTTCTAAATATTTCATTACTTCCTCATTGAAGGCTGGAAAATGGGTTCCTAAAACAGAAATTGTTTTTCTTAAATGTTTATTCAAGATGAGGAAAAAAAAAACATATCACTGGTACCGGCAACCGGGGCTATATCGGACCTTTTAATCGGACTACAAATATGGTTATACCGGGTATTCAACAATGATTGAGTGCCACTTGAACATTTCTTTTCCACACAAGAATGTATTCTTGGTTGCATAGTAATCTGTCACGTGGTTTTCAATCATTGTTTGAAGACCCGTTATTTCAAATTGCGCATGTTACAACTGATGGGGGAGATAGTTGACTCACTAAAAAAAAAATATCGTTATTATATTGTATATGCTATAAGCAACCCACTAAACATGTAATGTTACAAAATATTGCCACAATATATTAAAGTGAAGTTTTCTTCCGTAATATGAAAATTCAATATTGTATTAATTTTGCTGCTATATTCGTCTTGACAATATGACAGAAAAACCTACTGACAAATAATTGTTTGTAAGATTCAAAGTGACCCTTTCATTTTATTTTCGATAGCAATATTGCATCAACTATATATTCGCATTAAACTTGCAACATTACATGGACTAACTACTAACAATATCAGTGCAACGTTACATATGGAACTATCAGTTACTTTTCAATTGTAATGTTGCATTGAAATTGATACTTTATCGAGTTTGTAAATAACATAAGTTTCCTAACCCCGCACAATGTTCGACCTCTGGGGAGTTGGTTCCCAACTTCGAAGAAGCGATATACAAATTTTACTATTTTTTTTTTTCACCAATACACCATGAAAAATTTTGCGATGCTGTCTGGTCACAGGACATTTTTCCTTAATTAGCTACAGGAAAACATTGTTTTTCTGTGACGGAAACAAAGTTAGACATCTCATCTCTGTTGGCAGATTACAAAATGTCACTTTTCATAAAACTGATTTTTTCTCTCATGACACTTAATAGGCAGCAAAGGTGTACTTTATATGCCTAGGCAGAAAAAGTGTGTTGCTATCAAACGTTCCAAGTAATTTGAACGATATTGGTTATCAAAATCCACACTGACATTGGGTGAACACAAAATGATGGAGTTTTCATTAGAAAATTACACAAAATTGTTTTTTTTTTACATTTGGAGAGAAAATTATGTTTCAAATGGCGGCATTGGGTGAATTCCTATCATCGCTACGCTGGGCTATGAAGTATCAGCCGCGGCAGTCAATCTACTACTTTGCTGTCTAGTAAAACATATAACTATTTTCCCACGGGTAAATTGTACCAGTATATCACAAACATGTTGTATGTTCAAGAATTTTGTGGAAATCTCATCGTTTGTGAAGTTTTTACATTTGCCATGGATTTCCATCAAGTAACGGCCGAGTCAATTCACTCCGATAACCCGTTGACGAATTGCTTTGCCATCAAAATGTTTGTGTTGCCATAGTTATGCTACCAAAAGCTTTATATTTTGGTATGTCCTACATTTTTACATTTTCCACTTGTATTGCCATATTGCATCATTTTACAGGTACTTTTTATGTCTGACGATGTCCGTTGCGCCGAAACCGATAACATGTTGAAATATCAATAAATGCATGGTTCCAGAAAACCGCTTGTGAATCGTTCGATTGGTTCAGAAAATACGGGATGCCAAAAAAAGGGTCAAATTATGAGTGGTCCGTCTCATTGGTTGAGAATTGTAGAATATGCAATCAGTTTTCAGGATGAAATGATGAATTATATAGTTTTCTGAGGTTTTTGATGCAATTTTGATAAAATATTTTTCCTCAATATAGCTCCTTCGCCATTTCAAATATTCGAAAGTAGTTCAAAAAACAATCTCAATGTTTTTGAGATTGCCAACAGGTGACAAATATAGAGAAATGTACAATAACCACTTGGAAATCATAAATTGGATTCATCTACTGACACCTCATTATGAGTTCAACGCTAATAACAGACTATTGGCCCTACTTCGCCGAAAATGAAAACAGAACCGAACATTGAATAGCTGAATTCCTGATTAAAATAACCTATTTATGAGATATTATTCAGGGTGGGTTATTCTTGAAAAAACATCCTGTATAATTGAGTGAAGGTTAATACAACTGATCCATCAAATATCAAGACGATAAGACGAAGTGATATATCTTTTGAATGAAATACTGAAACTTAATGTTGTATACCTTCAATTCCTAAAGTTCCATCGGGAAGAATATGAAACCTAGCAGCTTCAATGCTCTCTGTAGCATTATCTTTCACTATTAATAATGAAGATATTATTTGTAAGGCAACTGCGAAATTACTTGCTCCAAACACTATTCTTCTTCCGCATATTGAATTGCCATCTTTCATTATCAAGGCTATTCTACTACATGGTTTATCCTTGCTTTTCACATCCAGAACATACCCATGGGATGTTATATCTCCAGATCCAAAATAATTATACATTCCGCTAAAAAATTAACAACTGGTGCTACAATAGGGGTATTTCTGATCCTCGCATAGAATTCGTTCGTATTCTAGTCCAATGAAATGGTATTTGCACGTGAAAAAAAAACTAGCTGGTTTTACATGTTCTTGGGGGTGCTGAATCTGAATCTGAAGTTTGCAAACAAAATTTCCTTGAGCGTTCCTAGATATTCGTATAGGAAGATAAGTACAAACGAGGACCTTGAGGGGGCGTTATAACAACTTTTTTTATGTTCTGGTTCCCACGAAAAGTTGTACTTTTATCACAAGGAAGGCTACCAGGAATGTGCCCTGGTGGAACTATGAACTCGTAGGATTGAGGAAAGAAGTGAGAAAGAAATTCAAGAACGAAAAAATCAGAAAAGTGGGAAGAATACAAGAACGCTTCGACCGGATACAAAAAAGTAATCAACATATCTGAAAGATACTCTTGGAGGAAGTACTCTGAGCAGATAAAAAGCACTAAGGAATGTGCTAGACTCCAAAGGATACTATCTAAAGATTCTAAATGTGCAATATACTCTCTCAAGAATGAACAAGGAGAGTACACAAATTCAGGAAAGGAAACAAAAGAGAACCCAGGGAAAGTTGGAACAAAGCTGAAGAAGTGGTGACCTATGATGTATGGACTGTTAATTCGAACCCTTCAAATCACCAGGACCGGACGAGATTTACCCAGCACTGTTGCAGAAGGGAACAGAACCACTGATAGGGTGCTCTGCAATATACTGAGAGGAAGTTTGGCTCTAGGATACATTCCAAGTATTTGGAGGGAAGTGAGGGTCACCTTCATACCGAAACCTGGAAGAATTGGACAGGAGACGGCAAAGTCCCTCAGACCAAATAGTCTCATGTCATTCACACTGAAGACTTTAGAGAAGTTGGTAGACAGGCGGTGCACTGGCAGAAAATCCACTGCACAGAGACCAATATGCCTACATGACCAGATGTTCGACAGAAACAGCACTCCATGAACTCGTTGAGGGTGGAAAACACGCTGGAAAACAAATAGGTACTATTAGCGGCCTTCTTATAGGCATAGAAGGAGCCTTTGATAACACCTCAATAAACTCTATAAATAGAGCTCGCAGACAGAGAGGAATCGAGGAAACCTGTGTGGCCAGATAGACTCAATGCTAAGAAACCGAACGATTTATACTACTGTAATGGGAGAGACCGTAGAGGCCAAGGCGACCAGAGGATGCCCACAGGGAGGAGTACTCTCCCCACTCCTGTGGAATCTGGTTATGTACGGGCTACTGAGGGTACTCAATCACTCAAAGGGGCTCTGGAACTGGTAACGGAATAGACGGATCAAGAAGGGCTGAATATTAGCCCTCATAAGGCCACAATGATAGCATTCACACGAAGGCACAAACTAGAGGAGTTAGGTCCTCTTAACTTCGAGGAGAGACAATCCAGTTGAAAGAAGAGGTCAAATATCTCGGGGTGATAGATCCGTAATTGACTTGGAATCAACAACTGGAAAAGACAACCAATAAAGCGGTAACGACACTGATGTTGACTAGACGCTCTTGTGGGAGGAAATGGGGACTGAGACCACACATTCTGTACTTGTTATATAACAGGGTGGTGATGTCTTACATAACAAATGCCTCTCTGGTATGGTGGAGTAAGATACTACGAACAGGGGCCATAATAAGACTGAGCAAGATACGACTTGCATGTCTAGGAATTACGGGGACCATGAGGTCAACGCAAACCGCAGCCATGGAAACACTACTGGATCTGCCTACCCTCCACTTGATGTTACAGGGAGAGGCGAGGATTGGTGCCTTCAGACTGAAAAATACACTGGGCAATGTTAACATAGGAACAGGACATATGAGCATCGTCAGAATAGTGAACAAAGACATACTTAATATGAGAACAAATCACATTTAGAAACGATATATATTTGACACTTCATTCCGAGTGTCCATACCAGACAGATCTGAATGGAATGATGGAGAACTCAGCACCATACTGCAGGGAAAGATCTGGTATACAGACGGGTCCAAAACTGCACATGGGTCAGGAGCATCCGGCAAACATCCGGAGATCAGCTTCAGCTACTCATTGGGGAAGTATGCCTCAGTTTTTCAAGCAGAGGTGTATACAATTCTTCAATGTGCAGAAGAAAATAACAGAAGAGCCGTGAAAAATGAGCAGATCCACATTATGTCAGACAGTCAAGCGGCACTGAAGGCAATAGAAAGCCAGGAAGTGACATCTCGACTGGTATGGGATTGCAAGAGGGAACTGAGAACTTTGGCAGACCAGAACTGCATCAAGCTAATCTGGGTGCCAGGATATTATGGGTTCGCTGGCAATGAGAAGGCCGACACATGCAAGAAGAGGGTCGGACAACGAACCTGATCCAGGACAGACTTGACAGGAGTACCAAAACGTACAGCACATCCCAAGAAACAGACATGGGAAACAATACATTAAGGAACCAAGTCATAAACGAACTATAGACCTGCTCAACTTAACCAGAGTACAGATAAAAACTGTTACGGGAATCGTGACTGGCCATGCGCCAGTAAAGGAGCACCTCACCAGAATATGACTGTATAATGGCGATCCAAGCTGCAGACTATGCGGGAAGGAACCAGAAACAGGTTCACATAAACTATGCAGATGCGAGGCATTGGACCGCGAAAGACAAGATTTTTGGGCAACCAGTTGGCGACTCACATCAAGTGATGGATCAGTACAGACTTTTTTGTAGTGGGCACAATAAAAAAAAACTACTAGGTAAGATACAATGGGCCACCAGACCCAAGTGTCGTCGGAGACATTGGTCAGACGAGCCTACAAGTGGGGTGGAATATGTTTAGTGGATATACCCTGGCTAGAGTCAGGGGACTCCCACACTATCATATGGGGAATTAGACCCATATGATGTTCATAAAGGATTTCAACCACCTCGAAAAAAAGAGTAGCGGCTTTATTCTCAACTGGATAAAATTTCCTTCATACAGGTAATAGATGTATAGGTATGAGACAAAAGCGTCACTAATTCACAAATTCAGATTCGCATCTTGTACCTAATTTACCGACTCATAAAATGCAATAGTCTATTGCCGTGCCATTCTTCCATGGGATGAAGATGTACAGGGTGATTGTTTATATTCTACTCAGATGCTATCTGAGTTAATATTGATCTCACAGAAAATAGAATGCAAAAAAGCATTGATGTAAACCTAAAAATTCTACATTAAGTGGTATTTTTTAAATGGAACACCCTGTATTTAATTTTTTAAACGGTAAAGTTCTTTCTTCTAGATCATTTATCAATTTGCTGATTCCTTTGCACTTTTGTTGTCATGAGGAATTGGAATTCCAAAAAGTTTGAAGGAAAATCGATTATCGGCAAATATTCTGATAAGTCACATTCGTAAAAATCGTAAGAGAGATATACAAGAGGATATTAAATTTTGGGTCATTCCCATAGGGATTCGTTAATACAGTGATTGGCAAAAGTATGGAACCAAGTGAATATCTCGGTATCGTTTGTTAGATTTTTCGAATTTTTGTACAGGGTGATGTCAAAACTATTACTATCGTAATATCGCCTGTTGCTACGTCCTTACTTCTTATGAAAATCATGTCAAGTTTATCTCAATAAATAACACACCCTTATATATTATCATTGATTTTAAAAAACAATCTCTCAGCGAATTCATTGATACATCACTGGTTATTTTAATTTAGATTAAAAAATAAAAAAAAATATATGAGCGAAGTTACCAAATAATCAAAACTGACTGAAACATAATATGTCTTGTTCTTATTCAAATTCCACAACCGACATTTGACAAATTCAATTCAAAAACATAAGGTATAGTTTATGCAAAGTTAGTTGAACAGATCATCAAACGAATGTCGGGCCGCGCTGCCGCACTCTTTGAACTTTCAAAGGGACCGACAGCTTGCGGTGATGTGTTTTTCCAACTGACTATGCATAAACTATACAATATTTTTGATTTCATGACAAACCAAGATATCTACTAACAAAGTACTTGTATATAAAACAATCGTAACAATCACAAAGTAAGAGGAAGTAAAAATAAACTCATTTTATTGAATGTTCAAACTGAGCACCGTTTACTTAGTTACTTACGTTAGACATTCACAATTACTCCGTGTTCTTTCATTCTTTCAACATCTTTGATTATGCTTTCAACTAGTTCTGTTAAACTATTTGGTTGATTAAAATGAACTTTGGACTTGAAATATCCCATAGAAAAGAGTCCAGTGGAGTCAATCGTACGTCTTTTTCAAATCCATCTTTTATGAAATGTTCTGTCTAAGCGAATTCAAAATATGCGGCGTAATGAGGAGTTGTTCCGTTCTGCTGAAGCCAGATATCATTTGGTAGTTATTGATTTTCCTCCAGAGCCAAAATCACTTGTATATTCAACAGATTCAAGTATCTGTCTGCATTTGAAATGGCTTCTAAGAAGAGGCACTACGATTCCTTTGGAGTTAATACCAGCCCAAACCTTCAGTTTTCGGTGAGGATTATTTTGCTACGAGTACCGACAATTTTGTCTATTAGCTTTACCATTCATATCGGACAAAGAACACACACTTTCACCGCTGTGCCAAACTCTCTTCAATACTTCGTTGATTTTTTCGATATCTCTGTTGTTATTGAAAATAATAACAAATGATAAGTCAATGGATTCGCTGGAAGATTCTCTTCCAAATTTTATTTGTTATTGCTATTTGAAATAATGAAGATGACAAGAATTTCGAAAAAACTAGAGACGTGGCAACTTTGGCGATAACATTTTATAATTCGAGATGTTTCGAAATCATTCTGTGGAAAAATTGAAAGCGGCTACCGAGATATTAACTTGGTGCCACACTTTTGCCCATCACGTATACTAACTAAAATAAGGAGGATCCGAAATACCCCTATAATATCTCGAAAAAATAAAAAAAAGTATCCTTACGTAACCATTGACACATAATTCTCATCTTTGTCAATAACAGCTATATTAGATACGGTTCCCTCATGTAATGGTTCACTAAAATTTGTTGTAAATATGTTTTTTGTTATTTCAGCTAATCGATAAATATTTTCTTCTTTCGTTGATATCAATTTACTGTTATTTTGACTATCTAGTTCTTTCAGAGCAAATGCTAGCAAGGCTGCGCTGGTATTGTCATTTGGTAAAAATACGTCGAAATTTCCAAATTTCACTTTAGTTGCCTCTGAGGTTAGTGGTTCACGTAGGTCCTTCAAAGAGTCCAGCAATTCTGGAAAAAGAAATCACGCTCAATTCAAGTCATATGTTTTCTCACCCACAAGTATTTTAGGCATTCCACTTATTATATATACAGAGTGACCCATTTGGAAGCATGCCACCCTCATAAATTTTCCGAAATGTAGAGGGAGGAATGGTGTATTTTAGAGCTGAGCCTCGTCTACTTTTTTCAAAAACCAAGGCCTACTAGATCACATTCAGAGGCTGAAAAATCCAGAATCCATATTAGCGATTTTTTTAGACAGAATCTGCGTACGTCATTGGAATCGGCAGCCTCTGAAATAGATCTGTACTGAAAAATATTCAACATTAACGAATCTACAGCAAACGCACCCCCTCTATATCTCAGTTATTAGTCGTGCGATTCGTATCAGGTATGAGTAACCATCAATGTTATCAGTTTTTCGAGAACGACTATCTTTTTGGACAGTGCCGTGCGTTTTTATTAAAATGGAAAGGGGTAAATTTTTTAAGAAATCATATTAAGTTTTTTTTTTGTGCAAGAAAACTGACTTCATAATATTGTTCCTCATGCTTTCGAACCTCTATGTGCAAAAAATCACCTCATTCCAAAAACGAGATATACTATTTTATGTTGAACTCACCTTTTCCGAGTAAATGATCATCAAGTTCGCAAAATTGCTTTCCAGATGTGTCTGTTTTCTTGGAACCCTCCATGGGAATTATATAAAAATCTACATATGGGGGTTTGAAACCACGAAGAACAATATTATGTAGTCAGGTTTGATTTCATTAAAAATTGACGTTATAATTATTTACTCGGAAACGGTGTGTTCAACATAAAATAGTATCTCTTGTTTTTCCTTTCAAATCACGATCCTACCTACCGGAGCTATTGAAGGTGTCAAAATTTGCAGTTAATTTGAATTCACTATTTTCCGAGGCTGAAAATGAAAGAAATGAGCCAATCCTGTTAATTTGGAATATGTAGGTAAATTTTTGAATATGGAGGTTCGAAAGCAAGAGGAACAATAATATGAAGTTCTTACAAAAAAATTCCTGATTTGATTTCATGAAAAATTGTCCCTTTTCATTTTCCAAAGGATATTCGTCTTCGAAAGACTGATCATATTGATGGTTATTCATACTGGTCCAAATTTGGTACGAATCGCACGACTAATAGTTGAGATATAGAGGGTGGGCCGTTCGAAATGGGACACGCTGTAGAATCGTTAATGTTGAATATTTTTCCATGAAACTTGGTACAGATCTATTTCAGAAGACGTCGATTTCAGTGGAGTACGCAGATTTTGTTTTGGTTGAAAAAAAGAGTGGACGCCGCTTAGCTCCAAAATATATCTTTCCTCCATCTACATTTCAAAAAAAAATCGTGAAAATCGCTTCAAAAATAGAAAAAAATATATGAGGGTGGAGCACTTTCAAATGGGTCAGTCTGTGATAATTTAGAGATTTTTCTAAATCGATTTCAAATAATCAACAACATAATTTGGTACTGACGATTGAATGTTAGAAATTCAGCAGTACCTACAAAAATATCAGTATCTGATAAAAACCTCAAAAGATCATATCTTGATAACATCAATGATATTTATTCCAAATTATAAGGTGTATTCGTAATAGTATTGCTCAACATGCTAAAGTTGTTTTTCATTAGGAAAATATAAAATATGGCAGAATGTGCAAACACAAATGAACAAGCCTCTAGGTCGACAAAAATGCATGAGGTGAAAATGGGTGCGTAGCGCGATGCCCAATTCCCACGATGCCCAATTCCCACCATGCCCACCTTCATATGTCGTCGATTACGAAGATTGCCGAAGAGCGCAACGTTGCGCTCTTCGTCAAGAGAAAAATTCAGAAAACACAAAATTCCCACCATATCCACTTTTCATACATTCCCACGATGCCCAATTCCCGCCATGCCCACCTTCATTAGGGTGGGAATCCAAAGAAGATGGGCTTGGTGAGAAATGGGCATTGTAGGAATTGGGCATCGCGGTAATATATGAAAAGTGGGCATGGTGGGAATCCAAGGAAGGTGGGCATGGTGGGAATTGGGCATTGTGTGAATGTATGAAAGGTGGGCATGGTGGGAATCCAAGAAAGGTGGACAAGGTGGGAATCTTGAATTTTCTGAATTTTTCTCTTGACCTGGCAACGTTGCGCTCTTCGGCAAACCTCGTAATCGTAGACATGATCGTCTTGGGAATGGTGCATTGTGGGAATTGGGCATCGCGGGATGCTCCCGGTGAAAATATGTAATCGGGTATTTCATCTGATAGAGTCCAGCCGCTACTTAGACAGTACCTACAGATTTCGTACTCCCTCCAAATCCACAATTGTTTCCGAAACTAACCGAATTGGGTACCAAAATATTTCAAAATGGCCAAGAAAAAATAAATACATGATGAGAACTTTTCAATGATCTTTACTATAAATATGGCAGACTATACACAAACAATGTATCTGATCCTCGTAACAAGGACAAAATCTGATAGAATTCAACTACACGTACAGGGTGATTCACCATAAATGTCCCCCCCTCTAGCTCACTTATTTTTGAACCGTTTTAAAAATTTGAAAGATAATCTAAAATGATTTTTCTGAAATTTTTTTCCCGCTGCATCAGGAAATACAGGGTGCTCGGAACAAACGATCTACAGAGTACTAATTGATTTTTTTAAATGGAACACCCTGTATTTTTTTGTATTTTTAGATTCTTCCTGAAGAGCTGATTTCATCAATGTATCACACTTGGGGTTTAGCGGGAATGATTACAGAGATATAGGGTGTTCAAAATCGAGATTTTTCAACTTTAGGATTTTTTTGTGCCGAAACTATTCATTACTGGTCAAAACGGCTTCTATGTTCCCATCCCAACTTTCGATTTACTATCTAGTGAAATTTAATTGGAACATTTACAGGGTGGTTCAAGATTCAGAATTCTGGTCACCCTGTATCTGTTCCAATTATTAAATGTCAGTAGATAGTAGATACAAAGTTAAGATACGGACATGAAAACCGCGTGACCGATAATGAATAGTTTCATCACAAAAAAAATCCTAAAGTTAAAAATCTCGATTTTGAACACCCTATGTCTCTGTAATCAGTCCCGCTAGACCCCAAGTGTGATACATTGATCAAATCAACTCTTCAGGGAGAATCTAAAAATACAATGAAAAATAGGGTGTTCCATTTAAAAGAATCAAATAGTACCCTGTAGATCGTTTGTTCCGAGCACCCTGTATTTTCTGATCTAGCGGAAAAAAACTTTATCGAAAATCATTCAAGATGATATTTCAAATTTTAAAATCGGTTCAAAAATAACTGAGCTAGAGGGGGTGACATTTATGGTGAATCACCCTGTACCATTAACCTAACCTTTCGCTTTCAGCGGATCTACTCGTGTCTATAAGTACTATCGTTACATAAATGATACAATATAGTGGGTAGAGAGGGGGTTAACATCGCATTTTATCATGAGAATAGCAATGAGAGGGGACCAATGGTATTTTTCAAATAACTGCTGCACTTCCAGACGTTTTCTTCCTCTCTGCCTACCATTGTACTTATCTAAGTGGCGGGTGGACTCTACAAATATTCATCACTTTCTGTATTCTCTGTGGATATAACTATTTCCGTCATAATTGTAGAGAGGTATATTGTTCAATTGACCTTGTGGATGCGGAATCATAGGCAACGAATAAAATATTTGTTGATCCCTTGTATGTATCCCCTCACAATTTCATAATGATGCCGGTGTTACACAAACTGTAACGATACATGACTCAATATTATACAGTGTGTCCATTTAGTGCGTAATTCTTCGATATCACGAAAGCTATAACCTATAGAGAAAAACTTTTGAAGGTTTCCATTTCAAAAATATTTTCAACATTACTGGGTGTTTTACACAAGCGGGACGACTCGGAGACGAGTTTTTTCAAATGAAACACCCAGTATTGTTTTTTCGGAATTTATTCCGCCGAGATTTCCCTTCACATCGCTGTAAAAAAAATTTGAATCGGTTGCGGCGTTGCCAAGTAATAATTGATAAATCTATTTTTACCACTATTGAAGAGTCAAGTTGAATTTGGCATGGTATTATTCATTTATTCAAATTTTTAAAATATTTTCTGCATACGGTAGTAGCAGGGTCTCACGTACCAATCCAGTAATTTTGCGACACCCTGTATTTTTATCCACAAATGAATTTCGATATATTTTGCCTTTTTATCGCTGAGAATAAAATCAAATTCGGTTGCGGCGTTGTCAAGTTATGGATAATTTCCTTATTTTTACTACTTTGTATTGTGGAAATATTGCGTTGCTACGGTATAGTCAAATTTCTTCAATTGACCATTCATTTTTTTTTTACAATAGGAAAATTTACAGGCTCTCCAAGTTTGCAGACTATGAATTAATTTTTCGAAATACACTTATATCTTTGTAATGACCTGTCAAACATCGCCACAATCAGATATATCTTGAATTTATTTAAAATTTTGCTGAATTCCCTCCCGAAACCCGCGTAGTAAAGAAATATTGTTTGTATATCATTATGTTTACCTTCTTCAAGTTAAATGGAGGTTTCGATTGTGGGAATAACGACAATAAAAGTTGCCCAAATTTAAAAAAATTGTCCTTATTCTCGCAATCCAAATCTCCATTGTTTGTATTATAGAAGTTGTTTTAAAGACAGGCGTTGCTTTTTTGGCATGTTTGTTCGTTTCACATAGGTACATATTATTTAAATCATAAGTAACAAAATTACGGAATATTTCAAATTTGGACAATGCACATATCGCAAATATACCTGAATGATCTATGTAGAACATCGAATGTCATGTGGCAAGCAATATTCCCACATTCAAATCAAATAAAGGAACCATGTCTTATAACTAGCCCTGAGATACTGATAAACATAAGGAAATTACTCATAACTTGAAATTTTTTTCCAGCGATGAAAAGGCGAATGATGTCGAAATAAATCTGTGATGAAAAATACAGGGTGTTCCATTTGAAAAATTCTAATGAACGTCGTCTGAATCTTGCAATATTCAAAATGTAAATTCTAGCACCCTGTAATGGATCATCTCGCAAAATTACTGGATTGGTGTACGTGAGACCTTGCTACTACTGTATGCCAAAACTATTTTCACAATTTCAATAAATGAATATATCATACCCAATTCAATATGACCCTTCAATAGTAGTAAAAATGGGTTTATCAATTATAACTTGGCAACGCCGCAACCAAATTCAATTTTTTTCACAGCGATGTAGAGCTAAACCTTAGCGGAATAAATTTTGAATGAAAAATACTGGGTGTTCTATTTAAAAAAAACTTGTCTCCGAGTCATCTCGCTTTTATAAAATACCCAGTATTTTTGAAAATATTTTTGAAATGGAAACCTTTAATAACGGAAGAAATTTATTTTCAAAAGTGTTTCTCTTGTGATAATGGATTTCGAGATATCGACGGATTACGCACTAAATGGACACACTGTAAAATTTGTTGAAAAATATCATAACTTTATTGTTCTAGTTATTATAGTGGGAACATACCATTTTCAGACATACTAGCTATATGATCTAGTGTTTTTGCCAGATCGTCATGTGTTTTGAGTTGACCAGCTTCTAGATGTCCATAAAGATCTTCAGATTTGCTCAAGGTAATAGCTTCTACCAATGTTTTGGGGACCACATATCCCTTCCTGACAACATTAATTAGTAACGTTATTCTGATGTCCAGACATTGAACTCTCAATAAAGGGATGTAGAGGACATGATAGACAGAATTTTTGACTTCAGAGATGTTTGTGGAGGGTTCAGAATTATACAGGATGTCCCAGAATAACGTTCGTATACTCCGGGAGTTGATTTTGCAGATGAAAATAAGAAAAAATGTTCCTATCAACATCTGTCCGAAAATGCTTTTTAAGGGCGCTAGAGTTTCAAGACTTATCTCAATTCTACTACCAGAATATGATTCTTCAAACACTTTTGCATATAGAAGATGCTCCTGTTAGAATGCCACAAAACGAACCGTTTTTGAAAATTGTGCCATTAAATAACTAAAAAGCTCAGTCATTTCCACAAATGTTCATAAAATGAACAACAATGGTAGATGAGAGAAAAACTTTCCTGGCTAATGCCACGCAGAACATTGAATTACATACTCCCGAAATCTATGCATCGATACATATGAACGAATGCAAGTGTTTCTTTCCCGAATGCCGATTAATTTAGATGTAGCTAGGTTAACGCAACGACACCTACATAACGGTTTCGAGCTCCTTGATTCTCATCAGTGTAGGGCAGTCTCCAACAATTTCCAATCGGTCTCAGAGGAATCTCCCGTGGGCACAGGTGTGCCAGACGGGATTAACGCCATCTAAACGACATAAAAGGAAAGTAACACTCCACAACTGAAATACCCAAAAAAAGGAGTGACTGCCCAACTGGCGTAGTTTCATCTACGAAATAGCTACAATGCTCAAAGTGGAAAGGTTGAATAGGATGTAATTCAATGTTCTGCGTGGCATTGGCCAGGAAAGTAGGTGTTTTTCTTTCGCCATCTACCATTGTTGTTCATTTTATGATCATTTGTGGAAATAACTTTTGAGCTTTTTTAGTATTTATTTACCTTTCATTCCACTTTGACCATTGTGGCTATTTCGTAGTTGAAAAGGGTCATTGTTCATTTTGATGTCGAATAAATTCACATAGTGAATAAGTTTGTGAAATTCAGTCAATTTCCATTGCGGATATTTTATCAACAAATTGATATAAAGTTCTAGTTTTTTTTATTGTAAGAAAGAGCACACGCTCAAAATCATTGTGAATTTTCTCGGAGATCAAAATGAATAATGACACTTTTCTCGAAAACGGTTCGTTTTACGGTATTCTAACAAGAATACCTTCTTTATGTAAAAGTGTTCGAAGAATCATATTCTTGTAGTAGAAATGAAATGAATCTTGAAACAAAGAAATTTGGGGCATTTTTTTTGCATCGATTAAGAAATTCGCACCTCCCTGTATATTAAATCATGTTTTCCGTGCCACGAAACGATTTGTGAGATCGAATAACCCCCAGGTATCGAATTTCGTGATTCTAGGATCGATGATAACGAGGATAATCGGCTCTAGGGCTCTAGGGCCTTGAGAAAGCATTTTCGGACACATGTCGATATGAACATTTTTCTTATTTTTATCTGCAGAATCACCTCCCGGAGTATACGAACGATACTCTGGGACAACCTCTATAACTGTATCCATAAACTAGCCCTCCTAGTTGACTTTTGAATGGCTATGATTTATTTTTCTGTTCCATTGGTTGTTCGAGTGCTACATTTTTATTTCGCTAAAGAATATGCATCTTTCGAAATGTTGGGTGGACGCAGTTTTGAAAGATTTTTTAAAATGAATACCTCAGTTGAAATATCTTTCAATTCACACCAGAATATCAGACAGAAATATCTATCCAAAACAACATGTTTGCAACATCATACCAGGATCTCAATCTTCATACATCAATAGGTGTATCCGTTTGTGTTGCTGAACTTGCTAAAGTTGAATTTGTTCCCATAGTTGTCTCTGTTCATAGCATAATGTAAACAGAGAAAGTCATGAAAAAAAAAAATAGTTTAGAAGGTGGAGCAAACAAAAACGAACAGGCCTAATGCCACGAATAATTATGATATGGTGCCAAATCAATATGAGGGATCCCACGGAATGATCATAAAGTCGCCTATTTGAGAGCGAGCCGCACCATAATATTTTTATTCATGGAATTATTTTGCAGGCTTCTTTCTGGAGATGGGAGAGGTGCATTTGGTTTCTGGATTTTTCAGCCTCTGAATATGATCTAGGAATAGACGTTGGTTTCTGAAAAAAAAAAAAAACTGGACGCCTTTCTCCCTCCATATTAAAAAAAAAGTCGAATTTAGTCTAGAAATAATAAATGGATGAGGGTGGCCCGCTTTCAAAGGGAGCATCCCGCGATGTAAAATTCCCACGATGCCCAATTCCCACCATGCCCACCTTCCTTGGATTACCACCATTCCCACCTTCTTTGTATTTTCACCATGCCCACTTTCCTGATTCTCACCATGCGCACTTTTCATATATTCCCATGATGCCCAATTCCCACCATGCCCACCTTCTTTGGATTCCACCATGATGAAGGTGGGCATGGTGGGAATTGGGCATCGTAGGAAGGTATGAAAAGTGGGCATGGTGGGAATTGGGCATCGTGTGAATATATGAAAAGTGGGCATGGTGGGAATTGGGCATCGTGAGAATAAATGAAAAGTGGGCATGGTGGGAATTGGGCAACGTGGGAATCTATGAAAAGTGGGCATGGTGGGAATCTTGTATTTTCTGAATTTTCCTCATAACCTGGCAACGGTGCGCTCTTCGGCAATCTTCGTAATTGTCGACTTGAAGGTGGGCATGGTGGGAAATGGGCATCGCGCTACGCACCCCTTTCAAATGGCTCACTCATTTACGAAGTTCACCGAATAGCGAACGCACAATTTTTTTCTCCAAATACATCGCTGAAACCGAAAATTGAATCCTTGTTCATCTACTCTATAACCTCAGAGCAATAAAAGATATGGATGTCTTCTCTATCCTTGTCTTGAAACGAACATGTCGGGCTTCTTTATTTACGACTTTTATTATTCGTTGGTAACCAGGGTTCCTGGACCTTGGCAAGGTTAGCCGCTTTCCGATGTCATCGGTCCTTTTCGTTTCAACCTATTCAATGATTTTCATGAGAGTAGGGAAATTGAGTAGTTTTTTTATATTTTTTTCGATCAAGAGATTTTCTAGAAATCCGACATTGCTGAGCCCGTAAACTATCAATATTATTGTAACGAAATTACTAGAATTTGGGTTGTCAATCAGGGTGGGTATACATGCTTCAATATTATTCTTGGGTAAATAGCAAGCTAACGATGTCCTTCTTTTTGGTATGGAATTCAAATAATATCGCGAACGTATTTTTTGTATCATACATAAGTACGGAGTTTTGTTAAATAATTTGATTTATCAACGATTGAATAATGACTGTAGCTATCAGAAGTGCAGCGAAATATGATGTCCAGGAAAAGAGGGGTTTCCTTATTTCTGGAAAACATCTCGTGGAAGTATCAGCTTTGTGAAGGCGAGGTTTCTCGGTTTGCATAGCCATCATTCCTGTTTGAGAGAGGAGTTGCTGTATAGCCACCGTTTCTGTATGAAATATGATGTCCTGGAAAAGAGGCTTTCCTTATTTGTGGAAAACATCTCGGGGGAGTATCGGATTTGTGACGGCGAGGTTTCTCTGTTTGCATAACCACCATTCCTGTTTGAGAGGAGTTACTCCTGGAAAAGTGGGGTGCTCTCAATATTCTGGATAATAACTCGGGGAATAACGGCTTAGAGAAGGCGTGGTTTCTGATTTTCAAAGCGACCTTGCGGCTGAAAGAGCACGATATAGTTTTATGGGGGTGAAATGTCGTAAATTCAATACTAGGTGCTTGGAATCATGCCTGCTGCTCGTGCTTTTGTTAATTCCTAGAAAGATTGTTGTAATACGTTTTCACTTGTCAACAAGTAATTCTCGCATGTTGCTTGTACTTCAAGCACTTTCAATGCAATGCGAATTTTTCAAGTTGCACGAGCTACTTTTGCCACAGGTGTATCAATAACAGATGTGGTATATGTAAATGGCAGGTATGTGAAGAGGAGAATTTTCGTATATTTTTCACTTCTCGGTCACTTCCAGTTTCACCGGAAATGGCTCTGGTTTTGAATTTACAAATGAAACACTCTGTATATTGTAACATATTTGGAATCCTGAGAAAATTATGGATAATAAAGTGACATTCTAAAATTGGAAAAAGAAATTGTTAGTGTCACCATGTAGCATCTGATGAATCATTTCATTTGCGTTTTTGTTCAAAATTGGAAAATTATTTGCGGCGCTATAGTAGGGCACTGTAGGGTCAACAAACACATGAGTACGATAGGTCTGACTGAAGAACTGCTGTGCAGGTTTAGTCAGGAAGAGGAGAAAACAGCAGAGTACACATACTTTGCCACTGTGAGGGCTTGTCAAGACTAAGGTTCCTTACGCTGGGTGAGGAAGAACCAAGAGGCCAAAGTTACACTGGGGATCTGTAAGCTAGCCTATGGAGTCTCATGGTGACGGCGGGGCTTGCCAAAGAATTCTAAACGATTTTTGAAAAGGTCGCGGTGTGGAAGCAGATAGCCCGAAGGCCCCACTCTAAATCTAATCTAAATCTAATGGCTTGGGGCGTCTTTCGTCAGTCATCCTGTATAACATAGTATTTGGCATGTGGGCTAACGAAATGTGGGCCTATAGAATAGGTGGCGCCCAAGAAAAGAAATAAAAATTGTGGAACCAAATCTGAAATGCCAGGAAGGGCCCTGAAGGGTAGACACCCTAACAACATGATTGGCGCTACTTGGCGCGTTGTGAAGATTAGCTCATCTTGATTTGTAATTTGTAAATATTCATTTACCCTATTTCACCGTGACTACGCGCTTTTTGCTGTGATATCAGTAGGAGAGGATATATTTATGTTAGAGTCAAACCGAAGTGTAGTATTTGGGTTCGGAAGACATCTTGATATCTTTTAAGACTCTGAGTTCACAACCCATTAACTGAACACAAGCCATATTTTTTGTCGTACCATCACAAGAACATTTAAGTCATACGATGTTGATGGAATCAGATGAAAGTAGCAATGAAATAATAATCAAAACCTCATATATCACGAACAGTTTCAGAAACATACAGGGCAGATGCAGATGGACATAGTCGTAGGACATAAAAATACGGCCTGTTCATAGAAATATAGGTACCGAAGGATATTTTATACAATACCTTGCTAATTCAGAAGCAGGCAATACCAAGTCTTTCCAAGCTAAACTCCCATATTGCTGATGTACATAAGCTAAACCAAATACTAGTCTAGGTAAAGTCTGGGGCAGCACTTTTGGATAGCTAAAATCTATCACCGTAGGAGGCTGTTTAGCTTTATGGTTATAAATAAGTAAGTGGCCCTCCCTGAAATGAGTTTTGAAACGAACAAATTAGGATATGTTTCGAATATTTCTCTCATGTATATGTCGCAGTTTTACAGTGTAATCAGCCATTTCATGAAAGGTCTGGTCTTTTCATAAAACGCTGCCAAACACAGAAACAATAACTATCAAGCCAAATGGCTCTAAAAATAAGAAGAAATATTCCTTCCTCTAAACATGTCGAATAATTTTCATAAGATAGTTACTGGGACGACATGTTTAGAGGAAGGAATATGTCTTTGAATGCGTAGGTACACAAAGTGCGTCCCAGGAACTAATTTATAGCCTTCTGGCGTGATAGTCATTGTTTCAGTGTTTGGCAGCGTTTCATGAAAAGACCAGACTTTTCATGAAACGGCTGAATACATTAAAAGGCTGCAACATATTATATAAATCCCCCAAGTTGCCTCAAAACTACTGTCATCTTTGTATGGGAATACTAACTCCCAATACGGTTAAGTACGAAAATAAATCCATGTAGTTGAGGTATAAAACCATTTCATACAAAGATTACAGTAGATTTGAGGCAACTTGGGGGATTTATATATGTCGCTGCCTTTTATCAGCCGTTATCTAGCAATATATATCTTTTTAATCTTCACGAATGTGATCTGGTCGAAAATGTTCCCGATTCATATGATGTATGACAGTAGTATATCAATGATAACTTCATAACAGCACCGCCACCCCCATTTTGGCACCCCTACTTCCACCCCAATGGGAAGAGCTGTAACGGCACCTTCCACCATTTAGACACCCTCGCCACTGTCTCACTTGCAATGAGAGAGCTGTAACGGCACCCCCTACCAGCCGAGAGTTCTGTAACAGCACCCCCTACCAGCCGAGAATTCTGTGACGGCACCCATCTACCAGCCGAGAGTTCTGTAACATCACCCTTTACCAGCAGATAATTCTGTGACTGTACCCACTACCAGCTGAGAGTTCTGAAACGGCACCCCCTTCTTCATTGAAGTCCTCTGCCAGCCGAGAGTTCTGTATCGGCACCCCCTACCAGCCGAGAATCCTGTGACGGCACCCATCTACCAGCCGAGAGTTCAGTAACATCACCCTCTACCAGCAGATAATTCTGTGACTGTACCCACTACCAGCTGAGAGTTCTGAAACGCACCCCCTTCTTCATTGAAGTCCTCTGCCAGCCGAGAGTTCTGTATCGGCACCCCCTACCAGCCGAGAATCCTGTGACGGCACCCATCTACCAGCCGAGAGTTCTGTAACATCACCCCCTACCAGCAGATAATTCTGTGACGGTACACACTACCAGCCGAGAGTACTGTAACGACACCCCCTTCTTCATTGAAGTCCTCTGCCAGCCGAGAGTTCTGTATCGGCACTCCCTACCAGCCGAGAATTCTGTGACGGCACCCATCTACCAGCCGAGAGTTCTGTAACGGCACCCCCTTCTTCATTGAAGTCCTCTGCCAGCCGAGAGTTCTGTGACGGCACTGCTCACCAATTCAATCCAAGTGGCGAGAGTTTCTATCCATTAATCATATCGCGGTAACCAAGATAATATGCATCGAAGATTTTTCAATCCCAAGAATTATAATGGAAAACAAACACCTAAAGAAATGGCCAGGCAGGATTCTATTTTAAAGGAAGAAAATAAGTAGAATGTTTTTAAAGTGGAATTCAAATGCACATGTGGAATCAAAAAGATACCCCTATTGAGGAAATATTTCCGTAGCAAATCTGATAAAGGATACAGGGTGAATCTGAAGGTGGGGGTTATTTTCAAACAGGATTTATATGTCATCAGAATAAGTTTTTTGGTAAAAAATTGCTCCCATAAAATATCAAAGATGACGGAGGTATTCAAAGGTTTAAAGAAGACTCTAACATTTTGTTTACATTTTCTCAAAAAACGCAAGAAAGACGATATTAGTCCATTAGTCATTTGATACCGTACAGTTGCAATATTTTATCAGAAAAATTGATCAAAAACCTCTCTTCACATTTTCAACCTATTGATTTTCGTTTTGAAGTGAACTGTTATCTCATATTTTTCACATCAACAATTTTTGACCGAACAACTTATTTTGGCGATATATACCCTGTTGAATAAAAAACCTCACTTTCAGATTCACCCTGTATATCAGAAAATACCAGAGGAACACTTTGAAGGAAGAAGAATCAAAAGATCTCTGTGAAGTATATTTTGCTAGACATTTTCAATAAACCCTATTGAAACCAATTGCTCTTAATTCAAGAATAGTTCACAAAATAAAATGAAATCATTACAATTAAGCGGGTATAAGAACTTAATACCTAATTAATGTACCAGCTAAAAATATCAATGTACAGGGTCTCGTGATATTTTGACCCCCTACCTACAGCTTCAACTATAAAAGGTGGAAAAAATCTTCAAATATAAAAGTTGTAGGGTTTCATTTGTACTATCTTCTGGCCCACTCAGGGGCTCACAACGTGTGAGTACGGAAATGGTGAACCCGAGGTACCCTAACCGGACTTGTCTTGGGTGATATCATCTTCTCTCTTCATTTTCCAATCTATCCACCGGCCTTCCTTGGCCAACTTCTCTTTTCCTCTTCCTCTCCAGGCCCCACCTCGCCATCAAGTGGTGTGGGGAGGACAAACAGCGGCCACCCGACAGATGAAGCACTTTGGGGCCATCTTTGCTATCTCCGGGCCAGATGAGACAATAATTTGTGGACATCTGTGGCAAGGATGGGACGATTTGCTGATATCTGTTTAGATGGCCAAGGACTGGTCAACGAGGCTCTGGCAACCTAATACAAGCTGTGGAAACCTGGCGTGGCGATGGATGAATGGCACCGAGGTATGGTGTCGCTAACGAGTCCTTCGGGAAACAGGGGACATGAACGAAAAGGGTCTTTCATATTGAAGTGGCCCTTAATGAGCACCATGAGTCGTACCTATATGGTATAACAGCATGAAGATAAGATATAATGAGCCACTAGGTGGAGACACCAGTCAGACGAGTCTACAAATGGGGTGGAGTGTTTAGTGGGTATACCCTGGAGTTAGGGGACTCCTACACTATCAAATGGGGGATTAGACCCAAATGATTTCCATAAAAGATTTCAACCACCTCGACGAAAAAACAAATATCGCAAAATAGAGACAGAGTCCGGATAAGGTTTTTTTTAATGAAACACCCTGTATATTTTCATTGTGAAAGATCTTTCTTTTGTTCACAAATATACAGCGTGTCCCGTGACTCGATCCCCAATTTCAAATCGAAAGTGCCTCAATTTGTCCAAAAGCAAAACTCAATAGTTGAAAATGAGCAATTTTAAATTTAACAGAATGTGTTGAAGGAAGCAAAGAGAATGTTGAATAAAGTAATGTCATATTTCATGAATCAATTAACAATTATCAAGTAACAAATATCAATTATCAAGTAAGCATCCAGTATCTGAAATGCTACTATTTATGCAAACCAAATTAACAATCAAAAATAAAAAATACGCAGGCGCAAATGTCCTTTCTAAGCCATTCAAGATAACCATAGAACACTATTTCACAATATTTAAGACACATTTTTTGGTATTGCTATCACAAGTGGGCCCAAGACTAAAAAAATTATAGGAATAATGGAAAGTAAAAATAAACAAAAAACTGGGAAATGTTTTGAGGTTAGTTTCCATCATATAGGATGGACCAATCCTCGGTGATCTACAAGGTCACCTGCGTACTAGTTGCGCACAATATAGGGATTCCCTTTCGTGCGCTCCAAGCGATAAAAAAAAAATGAATGTAAAAAGTTGAAAGTTGACCAACCTTCTACCTGTTAGTCGACAAATGATAATTGTTAATTGTCTGCCTAAACACATTGATTGAAAAAAGCATGCTCAACTCATAATTGATGATTGTTATTTGAAAATTATTGTTAATTGATGCTGCATATTATTGCTTACTCAAATTTGATAGAAATTTGTGTCAAAAATATCGGCCCGCTGCTTCACAACATATTCTTGCTCTTCTAATTATTGTTATTGAAAACGTTGCTCTCTGAAGAGTATCTGGGTCGACTCGTATGGATGCAGCTGTAATAATATTTTGAATTTGCTCACCCCTGGTTTGTAGTTTATTTGAATACACTAGTAGACTGTTGGCCCGCGACACAGGGTTTATCGATGTTCTAAGTCGGTATGCCATTTAAGGGACCCACTCACTCAGTCCGAGTTAACAATAAGAAGTGCCTCGGAGAGTCGCAACCCAGTCCTTGCCCCGGCCCTAACCTCACCTTTCGGTTGGAAAAAAGTTCAAAATTTTGTTTAAGAAGAAGCACGGCAATGAATTGCCATGATCTTATCTCACTAAAATTTGGGCGCTTGCCGGTTTGCATACGCCTAGGTCACTCCCCAAGGGCGGCATACGAACCGGAAGTGGGAATTTCTCAGTGTTATAGTCGATGATCGAAGAATGTATGCCCTTTGGCGAAACAATGAATTGGGGCCCATTAATCAATTTCCCGACATTTGCATACGATTCCTGAGAGAGGAGCTCGAATTATTCGAACATCATTTGACTGGATATTCTTCAAATAATCGATAATCGAAGAAATGTTCAAATTTTGACCATGGTTAGTGAACCACACAGTATATATGAGATGATGGTTTGCATACAATTTGCACATTCCGTACAGGGTGTTCCACCATAAGTATCTCCCATTGTAACTCAGTTGTTTCTGAACCGATTTTAAAATTTCAAAAGTCAAAAAATGATTTTCCTAAGACATTTTTCATTGTTATCAAAAAATTCACAGGATGTCCATAACAAATGAACTATTGGGTAGTTGTTGATTTTTTTTACTGGAACACTATATTTTATCTCACTATCGAGTTGAGATTATCATGACGAATACAGCTCTACAGCATCTAGCGATATCATTTACACGCAGCACTCTTATAGCGATCATGCGCCAAATTGTCAAATTGTGCCAGAAATATGAATCCTGGGTTTGAAGTATTTCCTTTTTTTTTGCTGAAACAATTTTCATATCTGAACAATGATTTGCTTCGGTAGCCGGGTAGAGTGTAGCACGTAATGATTTAGTAGGCATTCAATAAGGTTTTTTCCTTTTGTAGAAGATCCGATATTTAAATATCTCAAAAATCATTTACTTTTGTATAATGTATATTACAGATTCATTCACTTCTTACTGCCTCCCCTACCAGTGGTATAAATCGGATTACCAGTAACCCTGTATATAAGTGCAGCGTGTGAATCTTATCGCTAAACGCCAGCCAACTATTCTGGGTTTGATGAAGTTATTCCATTGTCAGTTACATAATAAATAATGAAGGGGGCTGGGCCCTTGATACTTTTTTTGGGTACGATTTCAATTGGTACCTTGGTGAAGCTCTTCAAGAAGAGGTTGGTGATATCATAATCTCTGAGACTTCAACTGAGAAAGTATCAGGTATGTCTTTCGATCATGCCAAGATTTTTCGATAATTTAATAATATGCTTACTAACAGGTACTGATAACAACTCTGGAGAATCATCTTCAGACAGCGAGAGCGAAGATGACTCTGAAGATAATGATAGAGAGGACGACGTATAATTTTTCCTTTGAAATATAATGTTGTTTTCATTTAATATAATTTCATTTCCAAATAATTTTTTTTTTCGTGAAAAACAAAAATGTAGATGAAAGTTCAGGATACAGACCCCATACTATACCAAAAACATTCAACAAATCAAATGTACATTCTTTATATATTTTTCAGTTGCCAGTATTATGATACGCAGTCCCATAAGCCCCAGGAAGAATTTCAATTCGATTTATTGTGAGTTTCGATCATGAGCAATAATCCACCCCTCTTCTCCCTGTACGATCCCTCTCGATCATCCTGCAAGTATCTTGTTGTCAATTTTTTCTAACATGCATCTTTTCAAAGCTCTGTTTTCCAAATTAAAATCAGATAAAAAAATGTCTTGGTACTAAACCTCTCACGCATGTAATTTTGTTGAGCTGTAAATTTCTGATGAATAAATACAAATATATCTGCAATTTGCGTCTTCGAATATCCCCATCACTCCCAGTAAGTTAATCTTTGACCCAGTTTCATGTGAAGTGAGACTTCCCGATTATCTAGTTCGCTTTCGGTGCACCTCTGGCCTGCAGTGCGGAGCGCCGCGCTGGACCGAGGCACGCGCGGGTTTGCCCGATTATTACAACGTATGCTCACATTGAATTCGTATGCAAATATCATCCAGTTATAAAGAATATCCTAGTTTATCGGTCTATAGATTTGCATACGAACTTAAATCATCGATTATTTGAGAGATGTCTAATCAATTGATGTTCGAATAAGTCGAGCTCCCCTCTCCGGAATCGTATGCAAATGTCGGGAAACTGATTAATGGGTCAGAATTCATTGTTCCACCAAAAGGCATACATTCTTCGATCATCGACTATAACACTGAAAAATTGCCACTTCCGGTTCGTATGCCGCCGTTGGGGAGTGACCTAGGCGTATGCAAACCAGCAAGCGCCACAATTTTCGTGAGATAAGATCATTGCACTTCATTGCTGAGCTTCTTCTCAAACAAAATTTTGAAGTTTTTTCCAACCGAAAGGTGAGGTCAGGGCCGGGGCAAGGACTGGGTTGCGACTCTCCGAGGCACTCCTTCCAGTTAACTTGGACTAAGTGAGTGGGTCCCTTAAATGGCATACCGACTTAGAACATCGATAAACCCTGTGTCACGGGCCAACAGTCTATAGACTTTTCATGTATTCCCTGAGATAATAGTCGAGAGGCGTGCGGTCAGGACACCTCGGTGGTCAAAGAACTGGACCACATTTCAATCCACCTGTAGGCAAAATTTGTTATTTAATTGATCATAACTCCTTAACTATTGAGTTTTAGACAAAAGTTTAGAAGGCACCTTCGACTTTAAATTGTTCAAGGAATATATGCCTTAAGCTATAGGGATCGAGTCACGGGACATCCTGTTTATAGTTCGCTTATGTTCCCTTAAGCCGTTTTTGACTAAAATCTTGCTGCAGTACTGACATTTTTGCAATAGTTATAATCCTTTACTATTTCGTATAATGTCCTCTACTGAATAACCCATTTTAATTGAAAAACCGACAGAGATGTCATAGCATGTTTTGTTTCCAAGGCATTTCGGTTGTGTCCACAGCCATCTAAATGTTATTGGCCAATTAAATGAGAAATGGCTTGAGGAAACATTACAACCTATATATATTTGTGAACAAGAGAAATAGATCTCTCTCTAGAGTTGAAAATATGCAGGATGTTTCATTTGAAAAAACTGATTTAGACTCATAACATTTTGCGATTCGCATATGTTTTTCAAGGAGTGCCAAAAGATAGTACAAATGAAATCCTACAACTTTCATATTTGAAGTTTTCTTCACCTTGATATAGTTAAAGCTGTAGGTGGAGGTCAAAATACACGGACACCCTGCACCTGTCAAAAAAATCAACCTATTCCCAATAGGTCGCGTGCACGATGACCGACCCTAGATGTAAAACATTGAAACATAACCTCACTTTCCTTATTTGTTTACAAAGGAATCAAAGGATTGAAATAGTTTTCCACAATATTTTGGCATACAAATCGTGTTATTTGGGCTATTAATTAATTCAAGCATGCCATCATATTCTGCTGTTGTACAATGCACAAAAAATGTAGCGAGAGACGAAAGAATATGATTTTTCAGGTAAATAGTGATCTTACATAGTTTTCATTATGGAATTTTGTCATTTCTCATTAGAATTCTTTCTGGCACTTTTGCAATAGAAGCTTATACTGCTAATTGTGTGAGAATGTCTACAACACACACGATCATATTTCGTCCGCATGTCAGACCAGTCCTCCAGTTTCATTGCATGAATTCATTCTTCTTGCCTTCTTTTAAAATATCACGGGTATTTCTATTAGGTCCTATTGCAGAAGGAATACCAATGAGAAATGACAGCATTTCAAAATGAAGTCTATATACAGGGTGTTTCAAAAAAACCTGACCCCCCAGCTAGTATAGGTAGAACACTGCAAAATAAGTTGGGTTTGCTCAGTGAAAAAATGCCGTAACGGCATTTGTTTTCATGCAACAAGGTGTTGGAAAAATTATTTTTTTACACATTTTTCACGATTATGTCGAAACTACTGGCAACATTGTAATGAAATTTGGTATGGATGTTTCTTGAAATCTGACACATCGCATGAATTTGTTTTCATGTGTGACTCTCATAGAGGGCGCTAGTTACACGGTTCGTACGGAGTAGTTTAGAAACCAAAAAGGTACTCTTGGTGAAACTCGATACTATTTTCCGTTTTTGGAATATTTCGATTTGAAAATAATGGAGTAGTAATGATGCTTGTATAAAATAAATTTTATTGAGTTCAATTACCTATTTATTCAGATTCAAAAACAATAAAATCATTCTTGTGCTGAAGTTATTGATGGAACAAAGAATCATAAGTAGAAAATTGAGAGATATTTGACTAGAAACATGAAATATTGAATATTTGTTTTTGTTCTAAAATTTGTTCTAAAATTTGTTCTATCCGTCATTCAATATTTTTCACTCATTTTCGAACATGGTACAAGAATTTTGTTTTCCTATGTAAAATTTGATCTCGTTTCACGGACAAACGGTACATTGTTTTATAACCTGTATTATACGTAGTAATTCTGTGTCCCAGCAATTTTGGGACACCCTGTATGAATGAACAACAATAATAATCAACTTCATTGACGATTTCGTGTTCCTTGCAGTTTGCGAATTTGATTTTTCTATACATTTTGTGATTCCATCAGACGACATTTCGTGTGAACAATACCCAATAATCACACTCAACACGACAGAAAGTGAAGTGAAAGGCGCATACTAGATGAAGTATGAATTTGAGGGACTGGCAATAAAAAAGGAAGTACCTCTTTTATCGATGTCAAAATGACACTTTATCGTCAAATGGTGTTTTCTATGGAGGAGTGTTTTTTTTCAGTATAATACTGAATGATTATCCAGAATCACGCATTGCTATTGGCTGAAATCACCAAAATATCAGATTTTGAGATGTGTGACAGAATAATCGACATCGATAATCGATTAATCGATAATGAAAACTTACGCATCCAGTCCTGTAAGATGAGGTGTAGATACTGCCAAGCATAATGCACTAGCTATTACCGCGTCGATTGAATTGCCTCCTTCCTTTAGAACATATGTTCCTATTTCTGAACATTCTAAACTGTCAGTAGCCACACTCCCATGAGGTACAACCTGAGAATTAGAAGAGAAATTCATCTCCTTTATCTACGGTTTATTTCCTTTGAAATAAAAGAGCCAATTGTAATGCAAACATATCAAATACAAATTGTAATTCAGTCAAAAAACTTGATCTCCGAGCAGATCTCGTAACTAAACCTTCTTCAGTTGTAATTCAGATATATACATATTGTAATTCAATCAAAGAACTGGATCTCCGAACAGATCTCGTAACTACACCTTTTTCAGTTGTAATTGAGATTTCATCAATTGTAATTCAAATTTCTGAAATGAAATTCAGAAAGCGTCAATTGTAATTTGGATTTGGGATTAGTGAAAAGAAATTCAAAAAATATCAATTGCAATTCAGATTAGTCAACTGAAATTCAGAAAGCGTCAATTGAAATTCAGATATCATTTGTGATTCAGAATGCGTCAATTGTAATTCATACTGAGCTATTTGTAATTCAGATAAGTTTCTTGAAATCAGAAAAAATCATTTTTAATTCAGAGTAGTCGAATGAGATGCAGAAAACTTCCAATTGTAATTCAGATTAGTCAAATGACATTCAGAATGCGTCAATTGAAATTTAGATCTGTCATTTGTAATTCAGGTAAGTTGCTTGAAATTCAGAAATCATCAATTATTCAATTAAAATTCAGGCAGCAGTAGTAGTTTACAATTCACATCGAATCCTACATCAATTGTAGGTAGGTATATTTTCATGTATGTATACATAGAAACTTGTAGAAACCAGTGACTTGAGAATTATGGAATTATTGATATTGATGATCAATTGAAATTATTTTGATAGGTAAAAAAAAATTACTTTGTAATTTATTGAATTCTTTGCGCTTGGCTCATCAAGCAGTGTAAACACTGTTCCACATTTCTGAAATACAAATTTCAATTGACTTATCTCAATTACAATGGATATTTTCTTAATTTCAATCTGAATTACAAATGACGCTTTCTTAATATCAATCAATTAATCTGAATTACAAATGACGTTGTCTAAATTACAATTGACCCGATCTGAAATACAAATGATACATTTTGAATTACAAATGGCGCTTTCAACTCAAAATGGCCGACCCGTGTGTGCAAACACTTGCAAAATCTCTCACGCTATCAATTGCATAAAATACCAGGAATGGTATCGTAGAAAATGTGAAAAATTATGGTCCGCAACTGAAAAATCCGTGAAAGATATTAATGTGAATCTTGGGAAAGGGGTTATGAATCTAACATATGTGAACCAAATCCCTTCAAAACCTACGAATGATGAAGAACAAGTAGTCAACAAAATTCTGAAATCAGAAATCCTGATGATAAAGTCGCAACTAGAAATAGTTATTTGTTTTACTAGGAAAGTAGTAGATTGACTGCCGCGGCTGATAGTACATTCATTCATAGATAAGAGATAATACCCGACTCTTCCCGCTCTAATAACGACTCAATGAAATTTAAATAATAGGGTTAGATGATACTGAAGGTAAATGAAAGTTTCACCTCGACTTTCACAGTTATGTAATGTAGGTACAAAAAATATACATATATTATATACCGGGTGTTTCTCTAAAGTGACTCACCCCTAAACCCAGGCCCTGATCAAGAGTTCTGACCGCACTAGGCTAACGATGAGGACGCGCCCCCGCCATGAGTATTACGGTCGGCCTAAAAAGTAGTATATTAGTCTTGACTTTGTTTACTAGTGTTAAAATTTTGACATGGTTCATACTATTACCTATAAAAGTTTTCGACTTGAAGTATTTTTTATATATTTACATTTCTGTAATCTTAAAGACGAGAGGCATCATACAAGTGAAACAGTTTTGCAACTGATTAATGTTTTATTTGAAAATTATAATAATCGAGTAATTATTATTTGCTTATAATAAGGTCTTTTTTCTTGCTTTTTCTGTATTCTGCTCCACTTGGCTTTTTAACAATCGAACTACTCTCATTACCACTCATAGTCTTGAAAAAACACGGAAACACTAAGAAGAGGACAATAAATGTCAATTACCAAAAACGAATATATGTGAGCGCGTGATATAACTGACAACGGACGAACGATTAGATGATTCCGAAAGAGAAGGCAAATATGCGCGGCGAGCTGCGCTATTGCCAGCTCACTCACTCGCTCGCCACCAACCGATTCGAGTGACAAGTGTTTGTTTTACGCGCGCTTTTTAAAATTTCAAAATTCATTGTTAAAATCAGGGACTATCAAGCGCATTTAGTTTTATTGTTTTGTCTCGGTCTAGTTGAAATATGTAGGGTAGATGCAATGATGCTAGATTAGTGCATGCGAAGACACGATTTTAGCGCGTCTTGCGCGCCCCCCCGATCTTCGCGCCCTAGGCTGCAGCCTAATCAGCCTAATGGTTAATCAGGCCCTGGAAATTCGATGTGTAAGTAAAGTATCAATTGTTTTCTATCACTTCCGGTTTGACCGGAAATGACCAATAATTTCTTATTTTAGATGGGACACCCGATATATTTTTACTTTTTCCGATAGAGAATAACATTGTTAGTACAATGACACCTCATTTGCCACATTTTTACATTTATCATCCTGAAATTTCCATTGTTCAAATTTCAATCTAGAGTGCCATGAATGAGTTGAAACAGTTGATTTCTTTTCTCCTGAAGATGCCAACATAGTTAGCGAAACACGTGTCGAGAGGAATAAAAAATCGGTTGGTTAGTGGTAAAACAGTTTATTATCGTGCCAAACGTTCCTGTCTTCGATATAATACAGGGTATATCTTCTTGAGAAAACTGGAAGTACCGCGATTCTGAAAATTCGTAGGCCAGGTGAAGGAAACATGACGAATCCAACTAAAATATTTTCGCGTATTTTCGTTATTGTAAAGCTTCCGGTTTTTCCGGAAGTGACGTCTTCTAGTCAGTTTCAACATTATGGGAATTTCTCTCATGTTTCTGATTTGAAATCATATATCATACCTTGCACCTAAAATGAACCGTTATTGAGTTAACAAGGTTTTCTAGAAAAAGTGACAAATGCAGCCTATCGAACATAATATGCCATTTTTATGTGAATTGAAGTTTCAAGTGTTATGCAGTGATTAAAACGTGAATATTGAAAGTATTAACGGATCATTAATAAATTTAAGATGACGAATCCAAGATGGCGGCCGACTTCATTTTGTGATTTATGATTCGATTCAAAGTTGATGATATTTTTGATTGCGGCAATTATCAAAGGTAATACGACGAGTCCGTCAAATATTATCGATAATTTTTTCAATTTTCTACAAAAACTTTTCATTTGGCAAAAATATGAAACAAACCGATTGATAATCGTCCATAGGACGGGTGGTTTTATCTAATTCGGTTTATTAATTAAGTTCGATTGATGAAAATGAAATATTATCGGATAAAATACGAGGGACGAGTTGTATTTGAAAAGATAATTTTTTCCACCAATTTGATAAAAATGCACTAGCAAATTTCACCACTCAAATTAATACTACATCCGTCGGTAATGATTGATCAAGACGGTTCTAAAGGTGATGTGTGTGGTATACATTCGCGGTGAGCATTTGCGAGAAACGAATAGCTATAACAGCTATCTTTTTATTTATTTTATAAGGTTCAACTCATTTTTTTCCCTTTTTTTATATTATTATTCGTTTATTTTTGTCGCCATAGTTACTAAGATTTCTCATTATATTTTGTATCCAAAGAATTTTTGGTATCCAAACTGTATTTTTGTTTTTTTTCTTGTTTTTAATTAAGGCTCAAATCACGTACATTATAATATTTATGCAAATTGTAAATGTACCCGAATTCTTGGTATAGAACTGTAATGTTTCTGAAAGCAATAAAGTATCTATCTATCTATCTATCTATCATTCGCGGTGACTACAAGCGAGGATGCGTACGTCGTACCTATATAGCATATAATATAATCTTCGAAAGAAATGTAACATTATATGTGTTATTAAATCCATAGACGATGAAAAAAATTACGTTTTCTTCACTCGGAGAATTGATAATCGATTTTATTGTTACTTACACATATGATAGGTCGAAAGAAACAAGATAGCGGGCACGGGTAAGTCAGATTAATTTTGACAGTTCAATGAACACAAGATTTTATCAACGACCATGCAATTTCATCAGTATAATACCGAATGATTGGCTAGGCTAGAATTATCGCATTGCTATTGGATGAGGCAACGAAAATACCACATTATTATTACCATGATTTACGTGAGTAAGAATTACAATGAATTTATTACTATTTCCTATCTTTAGTACGTAAAAGCCCTAATTTGATTACTTTTTGGTACATCAAATATTTTTTATTTTCAGTACATTGAGTATTCATAATAGTAGATTGTTTTATTAGGATCAAAAGTGACACTTTGTTTGACAAGCGAATTTTGCATTTGCGAGGCGGAGCGTCTAGCGAAGCCGAGCAAAGCAAACTTTGCAAGTCAAACAAAGTCACTTTTGATCCGAATGGAACATACTATTTTTTCTACAACCGAAAGAATTAACTAAAATAAATATGTGAAGTAACCACCAATGTGACTTACTTGACAGATTAATATAATACCTTCATTATAATAATATAGGTAAGTAGATAGAAGCAAGACCTCAGACTATACTTTACATTAGAATATTGGTTGACGATGACTTTACTTCGATATAATTTCGGTTGACCTGCATCATCAGATACTACAGGCACGAATTCAATACTATACCCGAAACGTGGATGCCGTGCCATATGCATGCAATACAACAAATTATCCGTGTGGTGAGAATATTCTACCTGCATTTACAGATCAGGTTTATTCAATTTTGAAGGAGGTTCGAATTGTAGTTTCAATATAAATAGAACCACAGAGTGACCCATTTGTGTACTCTATTGAGTCGATGAATTCATTTGGACCAGGTGTCTGCCCTAATACCGAATACCGCGCCAGTGCCAGGTATAGGAAAAATAAGTGGAAAATGTTAGGTTAGTGAGCATATC